TACTGCCATTAATTAAAATTCAATTCATTAACGCGTTTTTTTAAATTTTCGAATTTTTTCAAAAATCGGGTTTTTTACGATAACTAAAAAAAAATGTTTCAAATTCATTAAATAACGGTTTAAAAAAATTGTTGAGATGCCCTTTTGACCGAGTTCGAAAATGAATCCGATAGCAGTAATCGTTATTATGATTTTTGTGAAAATTTTCAAATTTTTTTTTTTTTGAAAATCAGAATTCCACAGTTATCTTTGGATTCCTGGCTTCGAATGAATTGTATCATGGCTTGAAATATTTGTATTGATGCCCTTAAGTGGATGTTGAACGATGGTTACGATAACTACCTCCGTTGATTTAATTTTTTTATGATAATTTTCAGAAATTTCAAATTTTTCATCAGTTTCCCCGAAAATTAGCTTTTTCACGGTTTCTTCAAATGTAATGTTTCAAACTCGATCAATTATGAATAAATACATTTTTTTCAATGATATTCTGTTGAAATTTTGTTATGATATAAATAGTATCCTTGTATCCTTGTAATAGTATAATAGAATTCTTGTTTCATATTATTGATCAAACTGCGTTTATTATAATGCATTTAACTATATGGGTCATTCCACCAAATATCGGACCAAGAGCCGGCCTCAAAGTTTTCGAGCCTGTTTTTTCTTCATGATTCTATTCAGTACATCAGATTAAAGAGAAAAAACGAATTCCAGTGGCTTTCGTTGAAATTAACGCGAGGAATCATTTAATTTTGTTTTTATCTTGAAATTTACTTTTATATGATACGTGCGTGTAACCGCATGGGTTTCAGTTGACTATAGTCAACTGGAAAGTAGCGGGTTTCGAGCGCCTACCCACACTCAACTAAAACCCGAAATAACGCATGACGCGCATGCGCATCACCTATTCAAGAGAATAACAAGGAAGGAAATCTAACCTCCGAATAGTGAATACATGGAATGACTGAAAAATGAAAAGGTGATTTTCGAAGCAGATAAAATGAGCCCAAATCGTATAATTCCTGATAGTGATGAAGAGTTAGGCAGTGAGGAGGATTTATTTACTGATGAGGAGGAGTTGATTGGTGATGTGATATTTGAAGAAAATGGAAATGAAATATTCTCCAATGAAGCAGCAGCTGGATCGCCAAAAACTCCTTCTTCGATCAAATACTATAACTTAAGGGCTTTATTGAATTCTAATGATCAAAATAATGTCAAGGAAACACAGAGAAAAATTATTTTTGCTTTTCAGAGACATGTCACAGAATTCACAGAAGCTTCACTGAAATTTGGTGATTGATTTCTAAAAATTAGTGATAAGTCATTGAGAATTCAGTAACGAAAATGAAATTTTTCAATCATACTTTTTTATGATTACTTTTTTAAATAAATNACACAGAGAAAAATTATTTTTGCTTTTCAGAGACATGTCACAGAATTCACAGAAGCTTCACTGAAATTTGGTGATTGATTTCTAAAAATTAGTGATAAGTCATTGAGAATTCAGTAACGAAAATGAAATTTTTCAATCATACTTTTTTATGATTACTTTTTTAAATAAATGTGATCTTTTTACTTCAGTGGGGGCAAAGCCCCCCCCAACCCCCCCCCCCCACCGGGGGCTTCTAAGAGAATTAGAATTTAGAGAGAAAAAATTTCCGCTTCACCCAGCCGGGAATCGAACCCGGGTCTCCCAGATAGCGCCCAACCCCCCCCCGCCGGGGGCTTTGCCCTCTGGACCCCCTTTTCTCGTGGGGGGCTTCGCCCCCCCTCCCCCCCCCCTCGCCCCCCCCCCAACCACCAAACTTCATCACGCACTTATCATATAAAATAGTATACGCAACACGTGCGGACAGCAGGCAGTATCACTCGGGCGGCTGCACCGCCCTCGTGAGTAACCGCCTGCTTTCCGCACTAGTTACGTAATGTACTATTTATTTTTTTTCCGCTATAGCAATTTTGAAAAAAAAAATCAAAAATATCATGTTTCATCGGAAATTTTCTGAAGTTTCACAAAAAAATATCATTTTTTGGATTTAACCAAGTTTTTAAGTTGAAAAACTCGAAAAAAGATTCAAAATGGTCTTTTCAATACTTACCCCACTTTTTTTTTTCAAAAATTTCTTTTTTCTTGAAAGTTGAGAAAATTTGCTAGAAAGTACCAAATTTTTAGTTTGCGCTCTTGAAAACTCCTTTACTGGCAGTGAAAAACGTAAAATTCAGCGATTTTGCATTTTTAACGGAGTTGTAACTATTTCGAAAGTTGTACAACAGATGTCGCTCCGACGACTTCCGCAATTTTATGAAATAGAAATTCCAACAAATTGACGAATTTTTAATAAAAAACTGAATTACGATGCCTGAAATGAGTTGAGTAGTAGTGACTAGAGCAGTGACGATTAAACAGCGAATAACAAAATGGCCGGCAAGATAACAATGCTGCGTTTTTCGTGCTATTGTTCGATCGAAACCTAAATTGACTTTCTCCAAGATAATCGTTTCTTAAAAAGTGAAACTAAATATTAAGATCGAGCGACATATTATCCGATAACAATCATTTTAAAAATACTCCGGGGTGATTTCACGTGTCTTTTTTTTGTGCGTTGTCAAGGGACAAATCATCGGTATCGTCAGATACACGCATACAATTTTCATTCATAATGGTGAAAACTAAAGAGTGCTGCAATCCCTTCAAATTTGAAGACTCGTAAGTAAAATTTTCTCATTTTTCTGACTAGCAGAGAGGAAAATTGAAAAATTACATTTTTTTTCCATCAGATTCCAGGAGAAATAGTGTCGATTTCAGGAAAGTTCCGGCTGATCAAATTCATAAAAATCACCGGACTCGACGCTGGACGTTTCATTTGCACTAATTGTCGAAAGGCACTCAAGGAGTACAACCCACAAATCAACGATCCAGATGATGAAAATTGTGAACACCAGTTACAACCTTCCCAATCAGAAACCCTATCACCATCAGAAACCTTCTTATCGTTTTCACCTTCGCAATCTCCAGTGGCGGGACGTTCCACATCTGATCTTCTTGAATATGTACCGAGTTCTCTCTCTTCACAAAGTGATGGCAGTATGAAATCGAAGAGAATGGCTACAGAAACCATTGATTTCATACTCGGTGCAAGCCCAGTAAAACGGAAACAGTGAGATTTTTTTTTTACTTCAGGGCAATGTTATTTTATTTGAATGGATTATTGGTTGATAAAATTCAACCGCTTTCGACATATTTTTCAGATTGAGCATCAAGACTTATATGGAGGAAAAGTACAACAAAATCCAAGATCTCGTGAAGACAAAATTTGAGTCTGATTTCGGGGTTACCGTAAAGAGTCATGATAATGAAGAATTCATTCAGAACATGCAAAATTTGAGGAAAGTCTATGAAAACGAGACAAGCAGGTAAAAAATTAAAATTCGTGTCACGAGCAGTTCATTATCAAATATGTGAAGTTTTCTTCCAATTTCAGGGATATCAAATTGAAGTTGATTGAAACACTTCCAAGTACATGGAGCGTGGACAGGATGCAGAAAGAATTGGGTGCCACTCGATATCTGATCCGCAAAGTAAAAAACCGCGGATTTAGCAGTGAAAACCAGAGACCACCGGGTCATCGACCACTTGCGATGGAGATTCAGCAAAAGGTTGAAAAGTTCTACGATAATGACGAGAATTCTCGGCAGCTTGCAGGAATGAGAGATTTCGTCACTATTAAGCAACCGGATGGCACGAAAATTCTGCATCAAAAAAAGCTGGTGTTGTGCAATCTTCAAGAGCTCTATGCGAGTTTCAAGAAGCAGCATCTAGCTATCGAAATATCATTTTCGAAATTTGTTACACTCCGACCCAAACACTGTGTGCTCGCTGGAAGTCAAGGAACTCATGCCTCCTGTATCTGCATGATTCACAAAAACGTGAATCTCATGCTGGATGGTACTGTTAAAAAATTTTGAATTTTCAAGTGAATAGTGCCCTAAAAATTCAATAATCGTGTCTTAGTTCCATTTCAAACTTGAAGATTCTTGAATTTTGAGAGTAACTGAAAATCACAGAGACTGAGTCAATATCAATTGGTTTCAAATTGCAGTGTTGAATTGCAACTACTCAGAGTGATTCAAATCTGCTAAAATTTACTCAATTTTGAATTACAAAATATAATGGCTATTTTGGCTTAAATTTTAACAGAGAGACCGCTTGAATTCTAAAAGTATTGAAATTTCATTAGAAGACAATTTTGAAAATCCTATCAATTTTTTCTCCAAATTTCAATCCATTCCTGAGTTGTTAAGCATTTCAACAAAATGTTTCAGAATTTTTATTCCTTAACAAGAACTACTTAACAAGACTCTTTCAATTTTTCAGACTGTAAAATAGAAGAACTCCTCGAAAGATGTGGATCAGATGAACCGGACGGGATCGTTATGTATAGATCATTCCTTAAATCCATGATTTGCATAGAACCAGATGACCGCTGCTACAATCGTACGTGCAATAATTACAAGGAAATAAGCTATCTTGCTCTCGGGTTCTCTAAACTCCTTGATTGGAGTGCAGAGAACATGGTGAGCAACCAACCGAGCGCGTCTCCAGGTGGCGGATAGGAGGCGGCCACACGGATTAACCAGACCTGAAGGGGGAACCGAGTGGAGACACTTGGGGCCCCACAAAGGGAGGGCCAAAAGAGTGGTTTACGATGGTTATAGGGTCCTCCAACCGAGAAATCGGGCGGAGAGCCTAAGGCCACGTCGCGGACCAGCTCCCCAAGCTAGGGTGTAATGCGGGGGAGGCATCGGGACTACAGTCATGTTTTGTGGTCGCGTTGTCTCCCTGACCGTGCCAAGGCTGCATGGCGCAAGGGGTGTTGCGTCGCTAACGGTGCCCTCGGATACCAGAGCGACCTCCGAGTGTATATAGCCAAGCCCTGGGCAATCACGGCTCTGCCCGGGTGATATCGCTTCACCGTGGTACTCGTGGGAATCGTATGAATAAAGACGAAACCAAAACTCAAAGTGCATCAGGGGCTGACAAGCCCCAGTTGCAAGACAAAACGGCCACTGGACTCTCGAAGAACAGGACCAAATACAGCGGAGCCGCAAGGCGACGCTACCACAAAGAGATGGAGGCACAAAGGGCTGCTCAAGCCCAAAAAACTCCGTCTCAAAGAAATGACGAAAGGGGTGAGGGGACCAGGAAGCCCGGAAAACGGACTGCCCCCGACAATAACACCCCTAGTCCAAACATGGAGCGGCCAGAGAAGAAGCACAAAACCAACAGAGCTTCGTACTCACAGGCCACCACTCACATGTTCAGGTGGGCGCTCATCACAGAGCACTACCCAGAAGAAAAGTTAACCCAAGAGGAAATCAAGGGCCTGAAGGGACTTCTGAGGTCCCAGATCCTCTCCTTACCAGAAGGGACTAGGGCACCGATTTTCGAAGGGGT